GTGAAAATAGAGTGTTGAGGGTGTTGATATGGTCGATCAATGTAGTTGACTCCATCATACGAAAGGTGTAAAGTTTTCTCTTCAAAAAGATTTTGTTGTGTAACGATTTGGCTTCGTACAGCTTTGTAAGCGTACCACATATTTCTTTGGCTGTCTTTTTCTCCGCCACACTTGACAATACTCCATCGGCTAGCGCTAGGTACAGATTAGCAATTGCATTACCATCCATCTCGTTCCACTTAGCATCGTCAGTGATCTCATCGAGCCTATCTCCAATTGCTGCCAAGCAGTTATCTTTCCTCAAAATTATTCTCATTTTCCACAATGAGAAATTGTTTCCATCGAACTTTTCAATCTCATATTTTGCCACCATTTTGTTCACGACCGCTATACTCCCTTGTATTAATAGTGAACAATGACCCTACACAAAATCGGGCTCTGATATCACTGTTAGGAAAACGTGGGTCAATTTTGACTTGAAATGAAAATGGAATTGAGAAAATACTGCTAAAAAATTGGACACAAATATTTACGTGGTTCACCCAATTTAGGTTACGTCCACGGGCAAGTATACGAGGATTTCACAATAGTAGGAGAATTACAATAATACTCTCTAAATACAAGGAGAAAACAATAATTAATCTCTCTTGTAATAGGACAAACTAAGTATGAAATACTCAGGATAAAACTCTCTATAAAACTTTCAATTCCTCTCTATTTGCCTGCTACATTTTCTCTTCAGTTTTTACCCATATTTATAGGCAAATATCACCGCGTGAATTAATTGAAGTTAGAAATTCAGTGCAACCAATTCTTGCCAACTTCCACCAATTCTGCATATTTTTCCTTCAACATTAACTGCCAACATGTTGAAAGTAAAGCCATTTGTTTGACCCAACCATTTTAGCTTTGTAAGCCAATCTCTACCACTCTTCTTATTAATTTCAAGTTATTCTCAAGTATGAGTCCTAGTAATGAAGCAGAGAGGATGAAGATACCTTGAGTACCGTATGCATCAACAGTGGGTAGCTTAATGTTTGCTAT